TTAAAAAGATGGAGTTTATTAAAGAGGAGAGTGAAGACATGAAGATTGAAGAAGCATTCAGAGTCAAACAAGAAGACACTGAGGAACAAATAGGTTAGTTTTCATTTTTCAAAGCTGAACTCTGATATTTTTGAAGAATGTAATGAGTGTCCTATTTAAAATGCTTTTATTTGTCATGGAGTGGGTCGCCTCATGTGGGCAGACTTGTTGAAATTAGATGACCAATCAAATACTAATACTGCCTTTAAAGGTGCAATGTGTAATATTTACATCGATCTATTGACAGAAATGCAATATAATATACATAACTATGTTTTCAGAGGTGTATAAAGACCTTACTTAATGAACCGTTATGTTTTTATTACCTTAGATTGAGCAATTTATATCTACATACACCACGGGTCCCCTTACATGGAAGTCGCCACCATGTTTCTACACAGTAGCCCTAAACGGACAAACTGCTCTACACAGCGCGAAGTGTCCAAACTTTTGACTGGTACTGTACTATAATATACACAAAGAATATCGGCCGATATGTTGGTATAATTTTTTTATTCCCTAATAATGGTATCGGCCCCAAAAAACCCCTATCGGTCGGGCTCTATTAATTCGCAATAACATCGATTTATTAATATGTTTTCAGAGGTGTATAAAGACCTTACTTAATGAACCGTTATGTTTTTATTACCTTAGATTGAGCAATTTATATCTACATACACCGCGGGTCCCCTTACATGGAAGTGCCACCATGTTTCTACAGTAGCCCTAAATGGACAAACTGCTCTACACAGCACGTTTCATCACTTTGTTGTTCTTGCGAATAAAACACTGACACAATGATGAACATTAATTAAGTTTAAGTACATTAAGTACATATATTAAGTACATTAATATTAGAGCCCGACCGATATATCGTTTTGCCGAAATATCGGCCGATATGTTGGTATAATTTTTTTATTCCCTAATAATGGTATCGGCCCCAAAAAACCCCTATCGGTCGGGCTCTATTAATTCGCAATAACATCGATTTATTAAATAATTAAGTAAATACAATTCCTTAATTTACCTTTGTAAAGAAATCTCATTGCTCTCTGCTGTCTTTAACGAGGACATCTTAGTCCTGTATCGGCCACCGTAGCTTCTCTAAAGGGAGGGGTGAGCGGGGAACTGAGCCGTTGGTTGCAATTCGCAACCTCACCGCTAGATGCCGCTAAAATTTACACACTGCACCTTTAAGTGCACATGAGAAGCTCCTACTAGCAAGTTGTGATGTCATAATAAATGCCTATTGAAATCAGAAAAATAAGTAGCCTAAACAAAACAATTATTTTGTGACATTAAAATTCGTATTAAAATTAAATTATGAAAACCATCCGTTTCTATCACTTAGGCCTAATTATGCAACAGTATAGAAAAAACTCAAACAAAAAATATTTATTTTACATAAGGCAAACTGTGAAATGTGAGTGATCAACTAGCTCGTATATAATGCTGTGAGTGAGTGCTGTTTCTTAGTTTTTATAGTGAAGTAATACCATTGTCATAATGACAAATATATATTCAATGAAAATAATGCAAATAGTGTGTAAGGATTGGTAAGAAATAGGCCTCATTGTGACTTTCTAACATTTACAGATAAGGATATAACTGTAAGATGTAAACATGTACTGATAAAAGCACATTAAAATCATTAAACAACTCATGCATTTGTCAAAGCAGGACAAGCACACGTTAAACTATCCTGTTTGAATTTTGAACTTGAGTCATGCACTTTTCCCACAGCAACTCACTTTTTGTCCTGCAGTATTTTGATGTGTTTTGTCCAAAGAAATGCGTTATTCATTACTGTAAAGTGACATGATGTTTTTTCATGCACTGGACGCAGATGTGATTAATCAATAATCAAATTCGTTTGTAATCAATTTCATTATTGATTTTTGGTTTGATTATTGCTTTGGTTGTTGCAATACAATGTTTCAGACTGTAGGACTGCTGTATGACTAAAGAAACGTTATCAACATGCTGATATAAAACTGTACCTTTCTTGTCAAACAAGGAAGCAGAGGAGTGTAACATAATAAAGGAAATTAATGGGCTTGATCGGTACAGACACAAGTGGTCAGGTATCTCAATGAGCTTAGTGAATGAGACTCACTTCTCCATGATCTGCTTTTGAAGAATTATCATAGGATCGTGCTACAGTGCACATTAGGGCTGTGCGATTTTAGGAAAATATCTAATTGCGATTTTTATTTTATTTATTTTTTTATTTTTTGACCGATACTGCGATTTTTAAATTAGATTGAAAAAAAAAATTTAATAAAAAATTTAACATGATGATTTTATAGAACTGGGTTCTTATAATAAACCCACTGGAATTAAAACGTTTTAACTTATATAATTTACACGTTATGTAATTGAGTGCAGAAATGAAAGTAATCTTACCTGAAACTGATACTACAGTAGCCAGTCTTAACAGTTTACGTGATTTGGCTCTTCTTGTTGATTTCACTTTTTATTTCTTCGCAGTGTAATACCAAACACAACTACATCCATTATTGGTGCACAGAAAGCAGAAACTTGAATACCGGCGTGCTAGCTAGAGATTGTACGGTAGTTCACGTTGACCAAAACACACAAGAAAAAGCATTTTGGAAAAAAAAAATGTTCACAGACATTCGCATTTGGACGGGATTAGATTTCTGAGGACCGCCAAATTTGCCGAAAAACAGTAGGTAATTTGCTCTGGAATTTTTACAGAGATCGTGTGAGAAAAAGACAGACATGGCAGATTTGGACGGGATTAAAATCTCAAAGTACGTCTGTGAAACACAAATTTCTCTAACGTCCCCCTGTAAAACTAGTCCCGTCCGAATAGGGCTTTTGAGACTATTATACGATTAAAAATATAACACACCTAATGCATGGCATTCACATCAGAAAAATTTTGAAAAATCTATAAAAGACAAACATTAACACATAACTCGCAACAACATCAGATGAGCATCTAACTTTACCATCTGTGATAAAGCAATACAAAACTACACACACAGGTATTCATCTTCTGCAGGTTACATGTCCTTTACCCATTTATAAACTCTGGTTACGTTATACTTTACTAGTTTTGAAAGGTAATAAAGATAGCGATTTTCTTAGCTGATTTTGCCCGTATGTTTGCAGGACCTCGCAGATCACATCTGACCCTTCCTGTGTTCACATACCAGTTTTTGTTCTCCGTTGACGTCACGACTCATTCGCTCAAAATAAAAATTTAACAGGCGAATATAAAATAATTCGGGACCGACCGAGCAATCTCAACGAGCAGCAGCTCAGTCAGACGCCTCACTCAGAAAGACGATAATAACGGTCATATTTTCAAATTTAGAAAGGCGCTCACAGTTTCATTGGCCAGTTTCCTGGATGACAGCCAGATTAACCAATCTGCATTTAAATTATTATTATTAAATGCAGATCATTATTTTGTGTTATAATGATAATATTTGAACATATACCTTTAGATTTTAGAATAGGTTTCATGATCAAAATATTGTAAGATGCTAATAAAATAATGATCTGCATTTAATAATAATAATTTAAAAGGCAGAAATTTCTTTTGTATTCTGTTGAAGACATTAAGTTGATTCAACATACAGATCTTGTAAAAAAAAAAAAAATTTGTTGTTTTGTGTTTTTGTTCACCTTTTTCAACCATTTAGCATTAAACATTTTTTCAACGTTGAAACAACAACTGTCATTATTTCAACGTTGAAGGTCGGTCATGTGCCGGCTGGGATAGGTTACATAGGCTGATTTCAGGGGCGTAAATTTCATCTAACAGTAGGCAATAAACAGTTTCTCAAGAGCAGTTTTTGAAGGGCACCCAAATAATACAGCTAAAATTGTACTTGTAAGGATATATATTCACAGAGAAATGGCTTACTACTATTAGTGCAGCAGGGAGACCGTGCCAAATTAGACAATTTAGGCCCTGTGTCCACCAAAGCGTTTTTAGCCAGCTGAAAACGCCAGGCGCTCTGCTGAAAATGCCCAGCTGCGAGCGCTTGAGAGCGCTTTTTGTGGCGCAGCATTTTTTCAGTTGAGATGCTTTGGTTGCTATGATACGCACGCTCCTGGCGTTTTAAAAAACGCGGCGCTCCCATTGAGAACAACTGAAAAAACACGCTAGCCGCGGGGAAAAACGCTTTGGTGGACACAGGGCCTTCAAGCTGTTGTGCTCACGCCGTGACGGCGCTTGTGTCCGTTGTATCTGTCACAGTGTTGCCAAATCAGTGGTTTTCCTGTGGAATTGGGCTACTTTATCACTGTCGCCGCGGGTTGAAGCGACCCCAATAACGTGTATTTTAGCCCCCCGTAATGCGAATTTTACTGGGGGACCCCTCGAAAAGCGGATAGTTTGGGCTAGTTGAGTAGCAATTGGGCGGGTTTTGTTATGAAAACCTGGCAACCCTTTCCCTCAAGCAGGTAACTTTATTATTGCTAACATAGCGGACTCATCGAAAAATACATTGCCATCATCTGTATTAAAGAGAAAATAATCACTTCATCCGATGTTTAAGTGAATAAAATAGCCTTGACAGCCTTACTTACTGGAGTTCCACAACTATTGACTTTGTTCTCTCTCACCGGACTTGTGTAGGTGATGTAAAAGAGGAAAGCAGATGTTTCAAAACTTAAAATGCATTTTTGCCCCGTTTGTGGTGTTTTACTACTTACACAATTATTTAAAGTATAAAACATTATTTACAATGCACAGCGTGGTTCCTCCGTGAGACGCGGCAGAGAGGAGCAAGTATGAGAAGCATTCCGAGACAAAGGCTGTGTGTGCGGTCTTCTGAATTGGGAAGAGCGAACATGCATTATATACTGTTCAAATTAGAATCTGTTGGGGAGATAAAATGTGCAAGATAACGTTCATGTACTAATAAAAACATCTAAGAATGCATCTTTTATTCTCCAGTACTGAAAGCAGAACCGATAAGGGAGCTCTTGATATGTGTTGTGAGACAGCTCTTGCAAATTAACGTTACCTTTTTTGTTTGATGTCTGTCATTTCGAAGCCGAAGTAATCTCAT